CAGCCGGCCCCTCTGCAGCCTCCAGGACACCGCTGCTGCTCTCAGCGCCCGCCCAGGGACTCGCCAAACAACTTGTCGGGCGCCCGCTGCACACCGGAAACCTCGGCGGATTGGACGAAGCGTCGCCCTTCCCTCCTCCCATTGGGCGGCCGGAAACGACCTTGACCAATCGAAGTTGCTCTTCTTCAGACTCCGCCCCGCCTCCTCCTGTTTACCCGGTCAGGTGGAGGGCGGAGTGGTGGCTGCGCGGGCTCAGCCTCTGAGAGCCGGCTGCAGCGGGGCCAAGGGGCACGTGGGCTGGAGCCTGGAGAGGCGGCTTTGACCACGTTGTGCGAGGCTGCGGCTTGTAACCAGTTCAGTGGCCGCCAGCTGTTCTGTGCCAGATGGTTTAACCAAAAATACCAAACACCCCCCTTTCCTCCCCAAAAATGGGGAACAAATTCTGTTGGGAAAAAAAAGGGGAGACCAATGTTATTGAGGGGGAAAAAAAGGACCCTGAGAGCTATAAGGAAAAAAAATTAAAAAACAAAACTGTGGCCCCTTTAAGAAATCCTTTTGTGGCTTTTTGGCCCACTGTCTTGTCTTCCTGCTCCTGGCCAGACAGCTCCCCTGTGGAGCCAGGTAACCGCCTGGGATTTTTGCACCCTGGCTGGGAAAAAATCAAATAATACTGGAAATTTTAGGTGTCCAGTATTTTCTGGTTTTTTTTAACTGGACAGGAGGCAAAAATACCGTACTGTCTGGGTCAATACTGGACACCTGGCAACCCTAGTTCTGTGCTTGGGCCCATCAATCCCAGAACGGGGGGGAGAGGGGAGGGAGGGTATAAGTAACTCATTTCTTACAGGTACTGTTGTATTGTTAAACACACACAGCCGTTTGGGAGGGGCTCAGGGTGGGGGTTGCCATAAAACAGTACCTGTAAGAAATCAAAATGTGGGATGGGGGGCTTAAGGCAAGAAGCTATGGTTACCAGGTGGCTTAAAAAAATACCGGGAACAGGGCTGGCTGGGAGGATGTGGGGGAGGAGGGGTGGGGGGAACCGGCTGGCGGGAAGCAGGGCTGGCGGCGGAGTCGGGGGCAGCGGGGGCCATGAGAGAGGGGAGACCAGCCAGTGGGAAGCAGGTCTGGCCGGGAGGGAGCCAAGGGCTGGCTCGGGGAGGAGTGGGAGAGAGAATTGGCCGGCGAGGAGTGGGACTGACCCAGGCGCACGCAGATCCCGGGGCACTGCCTGTCCCGTGCACGGTCCCAGCAAAGCACGAGCGAGTCTAGCCCCAGGGATTCCTTCCCGCCCCAGTCCCGCTCCCCCCCCTTGCGTAGTTGCGTACTGCCTAGCTGGAATAAACACTCACGCAGTGTGAGCATGTCTCCCAGCCAGGCAGTATGCAACTATGTACTGATACTCCTAATAATAATAAAACTTACCTAATTAGAAAATACCGGATATTTTATGTGTTGGTATTTTCTTAATTTTTTTCCCGGACAGACCCCTCAAATACCAGACTGTCTGGTTCAAAACCGGAACCTAGCAACCCTAAGGAGGCTGAAGACCTGGGAAGAGACTCGGGGTAGGGGGCTGTGGGGTTAAGGGGAGGTACAGTGTTCAGAACAGGAGGCTGAGGGAGTGTGTGGGGAGGGGGCTTGAGGCTGGCAGTACCAAGGTTGGTGCACTGCTTAGGCCCCTATGCAGAGAAGATGCAAAGGGTTTGAAAGCAACCCCCATGGTTCCTCCAAGTAAGCATGTTCGGGAAGGCTGGGGCTTACCTGGAGGACCAAGAGGGTGTATTCACATCCTCGCAGTCCACACTGACAAAAAAGCGTGTACACCCTGAAATTACTGTGTGCGGGCCTGCTGCTTTAGGTAAATGTGCAGTAGCAGCGTGAGAGATGCCCTGGGATGCTGTTTCCTTCCCCTGGCTTCTTCCTGGGGCCACTGGCAGCAGTGCATACCAGGAACTGCATGTGTGCTGCCCAGTATCCAGTAAAAAATGCAATAGGACAGGCACACCAAGAATCTGGCTGGGACTGTGCACATCTGTTGTACACTCCCAGGGACCCCCTTTCACACCATCCTGGCTGCCACTTACACTGGCATTCAGGGCCGCCAATCTGCAGCAGGAGATCTTGTGGGAGCCTGGACTGGGAAAGAGCACCACAAGCGACGCATCTGCCGCATTGCACCCCCAGTCAGGTTTTAGGTGCACTGGGACCACATTACTTTTACCTCTGCTGCGTTCCCAAAAAGGAACCTGTTGAGACATGTTGCATCAGCATTTGGGGCATAATAAACACAACGGTGTGACATAGGGGTGTTTTTTTCTTGCATGCCACAGATTTAAATGGTTTTAAAGAGTTTGATTTTGTGTAGCCACAACTCTCAGAAAACAATGTCAAATAAATAAATTCCCTAATTTATTTCTAGGGCCATAAGAAAGCATCATGCAATACAGAGGTGCACTAGCGTTATTAGGATAAAGACTTGAGTTGCTTGAGAATTGAATCACCACTACATGTCTAGTTCATGCAGCAGTCACAATCAATATCTGTCAGGAACATCTTGTTCTGCGTCTTTCCTATACAATAAAAAGTTAAACAGGTTACAGTGGTTTTGTACAGCCTTCAGGATGAGCATTCACCTTGACAGTTGCCATGGCAGAAATCTGTGGTTCTAAAAACAGAATTTAATTTTTTTTCTTGTTGAAATAGATAAATTGCCTACTATCAGTCCACCCACCTTTAGTTCACATACAAGATCTATGTTAAAATAGACCTCATTCCTTCTAGGCTCCAAATATCAGTCTGTTCTCTCATGTGCCAAATGTGCAGCAAAACAGGGTTGTGTACTTTTGGGATCCTGCTTACTCCCAACATTTTCCTAAATATGATTCCAACTTTCCGCTTTGAAGGATGAAACTGATCTTCCCAGTTACTTCCCTTAATGACAAGCATATTAGACTTCTCATAAAATCCTTCTGTGGTTTCCCTTTATCCAGCCATGACAAGTAGACTGATATGTCTCCTCTTTGCAATTGTGCTGTACTTTTCATGGAAATAAGAAAGCTTGAAGTATGTACACATCTTTCTTCACACAGAACTATGAAAAAGCTAAGGATGGCCATATATTTGGTTTCAGGCAGCAGGAACCTAGTACTGAGAGTTCTCCAGTTATTCTTAAATAAATGTAGTTATTGTAGTTAGCACTGTTTTAGCCATCAATAGAAATGAGTTATGTTCTCTTTTTCTTTGTATGAGGGTCACATATCAAACTCAAATAGTACTTTGGGGAGCAAAGAAGGAGACTTAGATCCCTCTATTGAGAACAGGTCTGAAAACACTGAAGGAAAGAATGCCCAAGAACAAGCCTTTTTTATAAATTTGATTTTGTCAGTAAACTACAGTAAAAAAAAATCTCTACATGAAGTAGACATAAAAGAGCAACAAAATAGGAAGAGCAAGGCCCAGAGGATCCAGCAAAACTGGATCTCATAGCTTCAACTACAATTTAAGCTGCAGCTGAACTTCTGT